TGGGCTGCTGGCCAATTTTATACTCTTATCAATGTGAATGTTAACATGTCAATGTGAATATTCACATTGTCACGGGTCGGGCCAAGCTCACCTCGGGCTGCGGTCGGGCTTCGGGCCGCCCACGGGCTGCGGGCCAATTTTACACTCTTATCAATGTGAATGTTAACATGTCAATGTGAATATTCACATTGTCAACAGGCCGGGCCCGCCCTGGCTCGCGAGCGGGTTTCGGGCCGCCCACGGGTAATTTTACATTCCTACCAATGTGAATTTTAAAATATGAATGTTTACATCATTAAATTGCTAATCGTTCAAAAAATATTTATAAGGGTATCAAAATTAAGTATCAAAATTAAATATAAGGGCATAAGTGTCCAAGAAAATAGTATAAATCAAGAAAATGGACTTTATGGAATAAAACTATACATACATGAGACTAAATGGGTTAAAAAATTCCTTCATGGACTTCTTGGATTAAAACACTTATAAATTAGACTTTTCAATAAAAATCCCTAATATTAACGAGCTCATGCAGTTACAATAATTAAATTTAAATACTAAATTTTAGATATTATTTCATGTGTCTTATTTTTTAACTTAATATATCACGTGTCTTTAATGTGTTAATATAACGAGTTTCACCATTCATGTCTTATACTAATTCTTTATTAGTGATGCATTATATAGTCATATTGTATCTAATTTTAATTATTATAACATTATTGTTTATAATGCTTTATTTGGTTCACTAGAATGAAATGTAATTGAATTTTTATTTTTATTTTTTATGATCGGATGTTCAGAGCAATTTACACTACCTCGACTAATTTTGGAGACCTACACAAAGCGCCTCTCCACGTAAATCAGGCAAATCTCGGGCATAGCCGATGGGTGTGGCGCCAATGAGTTGATAACACCTAGCGAAAAGGGAGCACACTCTCAAACCCCAAGCTGCAATCACTAAATCAACCCTTTGAGGTTATGGAATTGAATATTATACGGTCATATTGTATCCAATTTTAATCACCATAACAGTATTGTTTATAATGCTCTATTTGGTCCACTGGAATGAGCTAGAACGGATTTGAATGATTATTCCTTAGACTCTTTTATAGAATGATCATTTCCTTGTTGTAAGGGGTGGTTCTACAATATTCATTTAATTTAAAGAGTCTTTCGAGTAATCCTCGCTTCAGTACCTGAAACAAAAAATACTCTGGTAGGGGGTGCCGGAATTAGCACTCCGACGGATAAGTTAGATGAGGAAGGGTAGAAATTTAGTTTTCTATAGAGATTTTAGTGGGTTTATGATGCATACCTTTTTTCTTTACCTTTTCTTCCTTATATAGCCAATTGGTGTAGATATTTCTTACATAATTTCCCTATTTCATCATGACTTGAATGTCATGACTCAGTTTCCTACTACTCCTTTGGAAAAAGACATCCAGGGCTCACTTTATCTTCTCGCACAGGTACTTGTCGTTGTTTACACTGGCAGCGCTTAATCGACATTCCCATTGGTTGGCGATCGTGTTACTCGGCGGTGTTGGGTTCTCATCAAACTCATTGGGCCTAATTGAGTTTGGGTTTTATGATGGATGCCCTGGCATTTTGTTTGCCGACTGTCTTGATGAATTTCTCGGGTTACACACTTGTAATGGTGAATGATAACTTCATTTGCAATGCATTTTTTATTATTTTTTTGGTGAAGCAAATATGTGAATGAGTATTTTGATGGAATAATTATTTCATTCCACTATATTCCAGTGAACTAAACATTATCTAAGAGTACTTTTAATTTAGGGGGAATTATAGTCTGGTGGGCTTTTGAAAAAATATTTTGTTTACCACTATAATTTTTTTTTTCAATTTTATTGAATTGCTATTTCCCCTTTAATTTATTGGTAAAATATAGACTTCTCAATAAAATCTTCCCAACAATTATGATTGTAGTTTATTTTGCAAAAAGAAGGGATATACGTAATTGCCAATTGTCAATTCTTTGAAACATAAATAATTAGATTTGAATAGAAAAATTAGCTGTTATCTGGTTTTTATCTCTTTAATTTTATTTTTGATTGTTGTTTGAAAAAATAAAAAATATATATTTTTCGATATAAGTGGTAATATATAATGGTGCAAAAATCCATTAATATATCCCTACTCATTTAAATATGATCTTTAAAAATCATTCCCATGTCCTGATTATCACGATAAATAAATTATATGGAGACAAAAAGTCCTAATAAATACTCGAAAATAAGATTCATACTAAAGGTTTGAAGCACTGATTTTGTAATAAGGTACATGAATTCTAACCACTCAGACTGGTTCCGTTCATTACTAATAGTTGTCATAATTCAAATTTTGTAAGACTTTTATATCATAGTAATAATCTGAGACTTACAAGAAGTTAGAAAAATGGTGGAAATTCACATTTTTTGTTAGAAAAAAAAGGGGGAAAATACAATTCAGTGTATATTTTTTAAAAAGAAAAAAAGTACACATAAATGATAAATTTTGTAAATATTAACAATTAAAATCCTAAATTTTTTCATGTATATGTAAATATTTTTTTATAAATCTTACTGAATTATAATTCCCCCCCCAAAAAAAAAAAAAAAAAAACAAAAAAAAAAAAAAAGAAGCTCATTTATCTATTAAATGAAGCCGACAATGCTCTTTGTTGTTGTGCCTAAACCATCAAAATGTTGTTTGCAATGTATAAAAAAAAAAGAGAAATGTTAAGGATCATAAAATTTTTTTTATGAAAATGATCATGAAAGATTTGTGACCCTTAGATTACCCTGATTAGTGTGTGTTGCTTTATTCTAAGTGTAATCCAAAGACCACAAATCTTTCATGATCATTTTCATGAAAGACTTTTTATGATACTTAGCATTGCTGAAAAAAAAATAAAAAAGTCAAGTGCACAAAAAATAAAAAAATAAAAAATTTGTGTCCAAATTCATTTTGAGATTCCTTCGTGCAACTAAATTCATTTTGCCATTGGAAATTTTCACTCTCTATGTAATCTTACATGTGACATAATAAGTTCTTCAGATACACATAATTTTTATTCCATAAACGCAAGTAAAAGAAGAATAAAATAATGACATAAATTCAGTGACGAATAAATTTAGTCAGTAAGCCATAAACGTAGTTTGCGAGGTTGAAGCTTGATAGGTTGAATTAAATGTAGAAAATGTATTCTAAAAAAAAATGAATAATTAAGAACATCTCAAACTTGAAAGAACTAAGACAAGCAAAGAAAAGACTTTCTCCTCACGAGGATTTGTCATCTGAAGTTGACGAAGCTTTGCGATCTTCGATTAGTTTTCCTGGATCTAATTCTCCCAAGTCGATTCCTGCCACCGTCCCTATTTCTGAATTATCTCCCTCAGTTTCACCTTCTAGTGTCAATCCTTTTATTCTCCCAGCTATTGAGTCTGGTTTTATTGGCAAATTTATTTCTGCAAAGTTAATGGGAATGAAAACATTCTTATAGTTTTGTAACAAATATTTGAATCTACCACCAAAAATTATAAAACCAGTGAATGGAAGATTCCTTCAAAAAGAAAGAGGCAACCAAGAGAGTTGAGCATTAAAAAGGTTACTTAAAAGATTATCATCCGTAGTGCAATTATTTTAAAATTGTTTCACTGACAACCAATTGCCTCCCAAAAATATTAAGCAATCACAGTTTCTCTGACATTTTAACATAAGCAATACTAGTAAAAATATTTTGTAAAAAATTGCTCTCGACTTAAAATATGTGTATCAGATTGATTTTGGGTAGGACACATAATACGCTAAGTTTAGATTTACACCATAAGTTTAAATTATAAACAGTTTTTCAGATTATTTTTTTCTGGATATATAACATTTATGTTTTAACATTATGATAACCATAATATAAATAATGAAAAATTACAATTTAAATTTGGAAAAAAAAATTACACATCAGTGATAAACTTTATGAACATTAATAATTAAAATTTAAAACTTTTTTGTGTATCTATAAATATTTTTTTTCAAAAGATCACTTATTTGTAGATGGGCGAATTACACTAATGGTTTCTATAATTTGAGCCTTGTGTCACTATGGTTCTTGAATTTTTAGTTGTGACACATTTGGTCCTGAAATTTGAATCTTATTTCAAATAAAGACAATTGAAAATATCATTGCGCAATTTCAAGGGTAAAGTCATCAATTTAATAAAATATATACTAATTTGAAAAAAAGAAATGCTAAAAAAATATTTTTTAATTTTAAAAAAGTATTTTTACCCACCAAAGATAAAATTATATAAAATTGATAAATCTTTTACACATTCATTTATTTATTTTTACCAAATTAATTTTTGTTAGGTGTTTGAATGATGATCATGTAATGGACAGTTGTTTTTATTTTTATTAAATTAGTTTTTATTTTTCTGAAAATCAAATATGATAACAACTTTGATATTATTATTAAACCAATCTATTAAATTAAAAAAATCCATACCTAACAACATTGCATATATTAAATGTATCAATTACATATTAAAAACCTAACAACCACTTATTACATTATCGTCATCCAAACACATAATAAAAATTAATTTGGTAAAGTAAATAAATAAATAAAATATGTATATCAATTTCACATAATTTTATCTTTGGTGGGCACAAATAATTTTTAAAAATTCAAAAATATGTTTTTCACATTTATTTTTGTCACATTAGTTTATATTTTATCAAATTGACAACTTTACCCTTGAAATTGAGCAATAGTATCTTTAATTGTCCTTACTTAGAACAAATTCAGAATTAAATTTGTTACAATTAAAAAGTCAAAAACTAAAGTGAAACGAGTCCCAAACTATAAGAACAATTAGTCTAATTCGCCCTTTGCAAATTGTAATTACCTTTCACTTGAACTCACATGAAATCTTGTTTCAAATTTTGTTGTCCTTATTTTCCAATGTCAATATTCTCATTAAATTATGCAATTATAAATACATAAGGGCAAAAAGAGAATTTTCACAAGTTTGGCCTTTGGAACCATGCCTCTGCACTAGGATTATAACACCATTTAAATAATTGGGAAAATTACAATTCAATGTTAGTTTTCAAAATAAATTGCAAATTGGTGGTAAAATTAACCAACTTTAATAATTAAAGTGATAAACTTTTCCCATGATTTTGCAATTTGTTTTTAGTCTTACCACTGATTTACAATTTTCCCTAATTAATTTACAAGAGATCATGAGAGAGAGAGAGAGAGAGAGAGAGAGAGAGAATACCAGGATTAGAAAAGAACCAGAGAATGAGGGCACAGAGAAGCAAGACGAAAGGTATGAGATGGATAGCATTCTCAGCTAACTTCACACGAGACTTCTCTTTTTTTGATGCCTCCGACATTGGTTCCAACTGAGGCAACTCATTCGCTTCCAACGACAACGATCTCAAAACTGGCGATGGCGACGCCGCCGACGACGACGATGAATGGTATTTTAAGTAGTCGTCAGAGACTCGAGTTGTGCTTGATGATCTATGCATCTTTACTCTTCTCTCTCTCTATTTCTTTGATCTACAACAGAACAAAAAGAGAGATCAGATCTAATGAGAATAGAGCAGAGAGAGATCAAAGAGAGAATAGATCAGAGAGAGAGAGAGAGTATGGCTGTCCAATTCAAGTCAAAGAGAAGTTTCGGCATGGATTTAGGTAAGATCTGTTATTTTCCAAGTTTCTGACTGTTCTTGTTTTCACTGTCATGTATTATGTTGATTTTGTATGGTCTTTTAACTAAAATTTTAAGGAATCTTTCAACTGGATTAATACACGTATATATATGTATATATACATTGTAAAATCTATACAAATTAAGAAATCTTATAAAAAAAATTATATAAATGATATGTCATGCAATTATTAAACTTTGAAAATTGTAATAAGTCCCACTTCGATTATAGGACAAGTGTGATGTGAGTAAAGTAAGATAAAATTATAAGTTTTATTAATTTGTATAAAATTGACATATTAGTGGGTATCTGTGTCAGAAAATACGGTGTAAATTATGTTAAGATAAAAATACAGTTATAATTTACACATATTATGTTGAAATTTGATAAAGAAACTGAAATAATATTAAAAAATATTATTGTTCATAAAAAACTTCTAACAATTTTGCTTATACCACACACTCTACAGAATTGAAATAAAAATAACAACATATTGCAAATCAAAATAGTAAAAGCATATATGCCAAGCAAGTTAAGAAAAAAATTGTAAACATTAAACAAAAACACACAAATTAAAACTATTATAAACTTGTTAATGCTATTTAATCTATAAAAAAAAATATTACTTACCAAAAAAAATATATATATTAAACACTAAATAAAGCATACCAATAAGTGCTATGCGATTTCAACAAATTAAATTAAAAATTAAATATCAAACAATCCGTATCAACCTATACTTTGTAATTCCAAACAAATCAAATAAATCTATGCACATCAACCAGTTCTCTGCAATCAGTGCTCTGCAATCTAAAAAAAATGAATGCACACAAACTAATACTTTACAATCTTAAAAAATAAAATAAAATAAAATAAAATAATTAAATTAAACATCAAACAATGCACACATGTTAGTACTATATTGTTGCCAATCGAATTATAACCACATAAACAAAACAAACATTGTATTGTCATACACCTAAGTCGATAATATATGTATGCTTTACAAAAGAGTCGGTTAAAGTTTTACAAAATATGTATATGTTTCAACCTAAAAGTATTTGGTTATATCAAGAAACAAAAAAGTGATACTAAATCAATTATACATTCTTGAGAACTTTTATACATCCTTAAAAAAAAATTAACAACCATATATGGAAATCAATTTTTTTTTTTCCAAATCAGTTGTACATAGGAGTGTAAAAATGGCACGTGGCCTGCGGTGGGCCAGACTCGTTTGAACCTAGGCCCGAGCCTAGCTCAAGCCCCTGGACCTGGGCCATCATTTTGAAGCCCAACCCAACTCGTAGGCCCGGCCCACGCCGATGGCCAGTGTTTTTTTTAGTGAAAAATAATAAATTTTTGGTTGAAAAAATTTTAAAAAAAATAGTCAAGCCCGCCCAAGCCTGAGGCTAGGCCTACTAGGCCCACCGGCCCGGCTATCCCAAGACCTAAATACCACTGGGCTTGGGCCTAATTTTTTTGGCTCGTGGGTCGACCTGGCCCAGGCCTAAATTTTGGCGAGAGCCCGCGATGCCCGACATGGGCGAGGCCCAGCCAGATTTACACCCCTAGTTGTACATTTCGGTTAAATTTATTTGGATAATAAACCATTGGTAGCAAATCGGATAAAAAAAAATCCAAAATTTAATTTAAATACTTAACTGGTTACAATCAAGATGAGAGGAAATAAAAATAAAAAAAACACATAAAAAAATGTAAACATTAAGAGTAGGAAAACAATTATCTACGAATTAAAAAAAAAAAACTAAGACGCTCATATCTACGAATTTAGTATGCAAAATCTAGTGTGTTTTTCTAAACATGCCATGATCATTAATAATAATGATGTTTTTAATAAATAAAAAAAAAGGCATAATTTTTGATCAAGTTAAACGTAAATAATCTATAAAAATACATACAAAATATATCTCTGTAAGTCAAATTGGACATTTTCAAAAACCTTCACTTGTACATTTGGTTGAATTTATATTTGGATAATAGAACCATTAGGAAATAATTGCCATGGATAGAAATAATTAAGACATAAACATTTAAGATAATAATTAAGATAATAGTAACAAAAACACATTTTAGAAAAAAAAGGGCTTACCTTGCAATTTTTGTGAGAAGTTTGGTGGGAATTTATAAAAATATAAACATTAAGAATAGGGAAACAGTTATTTACCAATTAGGGAAACACTAAGAAACTCATATTTAGTAGGGACAAAAGTCCTACTTATGAAAAATTTATTGTGTTTTTCTAAACATGTCATGATCATTAATAATAATTATATATTTTTTAAAAAGAACATAATGAAATTCAATAATTTATCAATAAAAAAAATCACATTAGCATGTTTCACTTACTAAAAAAAATAATTTTTAAACGCATTAATTAAAAAAAAAAAAATCTCAAACAACCACTTAGTAATCTTGTGATGGCCATCCAAACAACATTTAGCATGAGCCAAAGTGGGTGGAAACAATAATGGCGTGATCACATTACAGATAATTTGATAATTTAATTTTCATTTTTAAATAAAAATAATAATAAAAAAATCAAATTGTATAATTTTTATTGCCCAAGATAGGAAAATGATCAAATTCATCAACATAAAATGGGATCAATTTATCAACATAAAAAGATGAAACCCAAATCATAAAACTAAAATAAAAAAATTGATAAAACTCACAAATTTTTAGAGAGAGATAGGGTAGTTGATGAACAAAACCAAAACGATGAAACCCAAATCATATTTGGGAAACCCATTTAAAGAGAGAGACAAAGAAGGCATTTTCTAATTGGGTTAGAGAGATAAACCCATTTGAAGAGGGCATTTCCAATCACCAACGTAAAAGGATGAAGAGGGCATTGGGTTAGTGTGGGGACATATTTTTTGGGTAGTCCACGTGGCCGAGATTGTTAGCCGAGGTGCTACATGGGCAGATCATGTTTGCCGAGATATTTGGGGCATTGCTGAGGTATTCTGCGGCAATACCAGAATCCGAGATAAAGCGGATAAGGGACAAGAGTTCTAGAATGTGAGAAGACTTCAGTTTGGGTAAATATAAGACTCTTAGAGAGTTTATCCTAATCCTACTGGAAGTCCAAGATTAGCAGTAATCTTAAGTCCATTAGAGTTAGGCTTCTATTGGGACTAGGATTGAGTTTGCTATAAAAAAAGAGGCACCCCCATGGGTCTAAGGTATGCTTTTGATATTCTGTCTAGTAAGTTAAGCACTATTGGTTATCTTTGAGAGATATTGAGTACTGACTTGATCGTCGGAGTGCCCCCGGGTAGACGAGCCACCACCGGAAACTCTTCTTTCTGTTGCAGGTCATTCGGGCTTAATTTATTATGTCGGTTCTCTCCAACTAGGTACCTGTTTGGCAGTGTGGTCAGATTAGAGAGAGAAACCAAAAGAAAATTATTGAGTAAATGCGTATTTTCATAGGTTAGAGAGAGAAACTCATTTGAAGAGAGAGAGAGAGAGAGAGAGAGAGAGAGAGAGAGAGGGCATTTTCAATCAATGTAAAATAATGAAACCCAAATCAAAAGGTTGATGAAACCCACAAATTTTTAGAGAGAGATAGGGTAGTTGATGAGCAAGACCAAAATAAATTCTCATTTCGTAGGTTAGAGAGAGAAACCCATTTGAACACAGAGAGAGGGCATTTTTAATCACTCATTTACTCAATAATTTTCTAAAATAGTTAGAGAGAGATAGGACATCATATTTTATAGTTTGAAGAGAGAATTGAAACTGTTAATGGCCTCGCAATGAACAAATAGGATTGACAAATAACAGAGATCACAGAGAGCGAGAGAGAACCACCGTAGTTGAAGATTATAAGAGTGTCACCTGTTAATATTGCAGAATTGAAACTTAAGAGAAGGGGAAGGAAAATGGAGGTAAAGAAGGGTTGCTGGAATATGTAAGAAGAGAGAGATGAATGTATGTCTACCATGGGAAAGATAGAGGAAAAGTGAAAAGTCATATATTTGAGCAAGAGAAATAAAAACAAAGATTTCATCTTGACCCTTAGATTACTTGATAAGTATACTCTGAATCATTGAAATCAAATGTACCTCTAACCATATTTTGAGACATTTTCAAAAACTCTTATGCCACATTATATAGATACTTCAAGAAAAATATATAACAAGTTAATTAATTAATTTATTTTTTTTAGTTAGTGCTTTAAAGTCACTCATTAACCAAATCATTTTTTTGTAAACATTTTTTTTTTGGTTATGTATGCTACCTTTAGAGCAACTCCAACCACACTCTCTACTTTTCACTAGCTAAAATACAAAAAAAATATACTCTTTATTTTACCTAATTACTTTAGCTATTGTGTTCTCCGATCACGCTCTTTATTTTAGCTAATTATTTAAACTAACTTTATTAATTTTTAAAATAAAAAAATACTAATTGTTGATATTTTAGTAATATAAATTTGTAATAATAATAAATTTGCCCATACAAACATACAAAACCTGTAGAATGAAGAGAAAAAAAATACAAAATACAAAATAAGTTATTCCATAATTCATCAAACAGAATTGAAAGAACATATAAAATTGTTACATATATACACACACACACACACACACATATATATATATATATAATATATAAAATTCCAAATTCAAGACATAAATATACAAAAATTTAAAATATATACATACATAATTGTTTGGAGAGCCTCTGGGGCTTTTCAATTGTAGCCACAAAAAAAAAAAAAAAGATGGTAAAGTAGCTAACCTAATAGCTAACTAGCTCAATAGCTAGCCCATTGGAGCTCAAAATTAGACTTATATTGGCTAAAATGCCTAACAAGTCTTGTTTGACTATTCCTTTAGAGATGCTCTTAGAGTGGAATGGTTTTAAAATAAAAGTTAAAAATATTTGGTATTATTTCTTATGGTTTAAATGGGTTGGTTACATATTTATTTGTTTATTTATTTTGAGGTATTGTGTTTGACTGATTGCTATATCTTTTGCATATAATATATACCCAAAAAATAATTTAAATAAATTGTAAAAAATAATTATTCTAAAATTA